GTTAATTTTTTATATGAAATATTTTCTAGCTTTATGTTCTGATCGACAGAGACATCAATTTTTAGGGAATTCTTGGAGTTGAATCAACTTCTTGACAGTGATATTCACTTTTGCATTTTTCATCTAAACTTCATCAAGTGGCTCTGTTATGGTCCTAATGTTGTCTGGATTGCTGTTCTATAGAAAGTTTTGAGTGTGATTCTGATTAATTGTGACAAGTGCATATAAAACATAGCTATTTCATATCTTTATTGCTGGATGATGTCCTTCTTGTTTGCTGATGGTATGAACTGTTTTGTTCGGCTCTTAAGGTCTAACAAAAGATGCTAAAAAAATGAATAAGTGGGATTTCATATATTTCAGGATATCAATTCTTTCTTTATAACTCTGCATGACCTCTCATCTTGTGAGTGTTTTATATCTGTGTGATTGTTTCTCGTCTTCTATTACTACTTATTCTAGTTTGATTATACTTTGTCTTTTATGGTGAAAGTCTAGGTTATCGTAGATAATGGAAAAGCTCCTGCATAAGAGAGGTATACAAAAAAGTAGAGAATCTGTGGGATATTATGGTGAAAAGTTTATGTAATTTCTTCAAAGTATGGATGAACACAAATCTATCATTGTTTACCAGGGGTCAGCAGTGGGAAAGGTAAACGCGGTGAAGTCAGCTTGTAGCAATGCAGCATCGGCAGAATCAATGATGAGCTGTAAGACAGAACCTCCTACCCTTTGCTTTGCAATGCAACAATCCAGTTTCTCATTTTCAAACCTCACGGGAGAGAGCAATGCTGGAGATTGTCAAGACTGTGGAGCTTCCTCAATGCTTCGCATGGGAGAGCCATCCTGGCATCCGCCATGTCCTGAAAGTTCAATGCCATCAACTAGCAGGAGTGATGCTGTATCGCGCTACAAGGAAAAGAAGAAGACACGTCAGTAAGTTTTCTTTTATAAGCGCATAAAAAAGGGCTAGTTAGTGATTCTGCACTCCATGATTTGATTGATACACTTATGTTAGAGTTGTCTTGGCCATGTAGGCTATGTCCATAATCCCAGAAGATTTCTCGAGTTGTAGGCTTTTTACTTGGTTCTCTTTTCACCTTTTTCTTATTTTTTTATGACTTTACTTTTTATAGATTTGACAAACGAGTGAGATATGTTTCTCGCAAGGCAAGAGCAGAAGTAAGAAGACGTGTAAAAGGACGGTTTGTCAAGGATGGTGATGCTTATGACTATGATCCACTGCACCAAACCAGAAGCTATTGATCATAAAACATTTCCTCGTAGTACACACGAGGAGAAAAGCATAGAGACAATTGGTTGAAGTTTGAAGCAAATAAATTGTATTTATTGTTGCAGTGACAAAGAGTAGGTTGTTTCTCAGTGGATACAATGTCTCCAATCATTGGAAGCTTGAATCTAGAATGCAGAGTTCGCTGTTCCTCCTCTTTAGGTCCAAACTTCATCATCCAGAAAAAGAAAAAAGATAGATGTGCACTCCTTATGTCAATCAAAATTTAAGAGTGCTGCAGAGAAAGAACTTGGTCATCTGTAGACAACGCGATGGGCGTTCTCTCCAGAAATCAATCAAGATATGTTCTCTCAATTGTATTTATGTTGCATTTCGATAATACTGGGTTTCGTCGAGCTTGCTTCTGGTCTTACACAACTCATACTATGTGGATTTAACACTATTCATGTCCCTATACAAATTCACCTGCCCTTGAGCTCCCCTTACTGTTATGTATATTATAGGCAGTGTTTAGAAGTTAAGAAATAAAAATGAGCAACACATTCTAAGTTTTCATCTGTGCTTTATGTTTGAGGATTGAGATTCCTTGTCTAATATGTATAGTACTATCATGTATATTATGGCCACTTTGTACAGATGACAGATGCACCTTAAATTGTAATTTTTTCATTTTTTGTCCTATAAAATGTATTAGCATATGATAGAAAATATTGTTCTGATATTATCACAGCTTGTTTCTCAATTTTTCACTACAGCTGAAATTTTTGAAGAGTTTTAAGTCACTTTTAAAGAACTTAAAATCAAAGAAATGTATGGGGAGGGGAGGTAGATGCTATATATCATCTTGTTGTGTAGTTGGCCTTTGAAATTGCTCCACAACTTGCAAATTTTCAGCAACTATATATCTCCCAATCATTTAAAACATCTTCATATTCCAACCTTATTGGCAACTAGATATTGAAGTATCATATTGAAATTGAAATATTTAATATTGCGGTTTTGATATTACGATATATGATATGGTGTTGGAATTCATTGTAATTTTTTTTAGTATTGGATGTGGTATTCGATGTCCATAAAGAAAATAGCGAAATATCAAAGTTTATAATTACACATACAATCAACATACATTATCTTAAAGAAAAGGGTCAAAAATGCCCTTAAACTATGCGAAAGGAATAAAAATATCTTGCATCTGTAGTTTCGTCAAAAAATGTTTTTACCGTCAATACTTTGATTCAAAAATGTCCTTATTGTTATTTAATTGGTCATAAATGCACATTTTCCAAATAAAATATATTATTTATTTTTATCTTATTATGATTTTTTTTTATGATGGATATACTATGACCTTATATATATATAACATATATTATCTACTGAAAGGGTACATGAAGTTATTCCATTTTAATTGATAAAATGAGATTATGAAGAAAAAATCCTACACTTTATTTGTCAAAGTGATATTAAAATAAAGAAAACAATAACAATGTTCTTTAATATTAGTAATTAGGAAGAAGATATGTATAAAAAGAAATATATATATATATATTTGAAAAAGGACATTTTTGACCAATTTAGTAACTGTAAGATCATTTCTGAACCAAAGTATTGAATTTAAGGGCATTTTTATACCAAAATATTGACGGGAGGGATTTTTTTTTGAAACCAAAGTATAAACGAAGAGATTTTTTATTCCTTTCACATAGTCTTATGACATTTTTGACACTTTTCCCTTGTATTAATACTATTACTCTGTAAAATAAATAGAGTTCAGACTTTCAAATGAATTTTGGTTGTTCTATTGTGATTGCACCCTATGTTTCATCAGTCATTACTCTTTTTACCAGAAAAGGGCCTAAAATACCCTTAAAGTATTAAAAATGGAATAAAATTACTTCCCATCCACCTGTTGGCTCCAAAATACCCTTCTCATCCACCTTTGGGTTCAAAATTGATCACTTATTTAACGATTATATATTTAAACTATTTAAATAATTTTTTAATAGATAGCGCTCAAATATTGTTATAATATAATTTAATAATATAATTTACAAAATCAATCTACTATCTACCTATTACTAATTAAATCACACCCAATTAATAAACCCGCTCCATTACTAATGCAACAACAGAACTATTGTCAATGAGTGTTTCTAAAAATTTGAGGCGAAAATATCTAAAGAAGTACATTATCATACAATCAAGTCCTCAATCAAAACATATTATAATTCAAGTGTCTAAAATAAATTTACTGATAAACTTAAAAATATGACTATGTTCATCTTAATTATTCATTTCTCTCAATTATGTGATGTTACTTAATAGATAATTTTTTTAAAAAAAGAATATATTAAAGTATTTAAAACAAATAATAAATATTTATAAAATTATATTTAAAAAGTGCATAAATTAATTTGGGATGTACTACTTCTTTACTTTTAATCATAAAATTTGAATTCAAGCTTGAAAGGGAATTCTATTGATGTTTATTAATTGGGTGAGGTTTCATTAGTAATGGGTCGGTAGTGGGTTGGTTTATAAATGATATTAATAAATTAAATTATATCTAATAGTCGAGCGCCAACTACTTAAAAAATATTGAAATATTTTAAATATGAAACCGTTAAATAAGTGGTCAATTTTGAACCCAAAGGTGGATGTCAAGAGTATTTTGGAGCCAATAAGTGGTTGAAAAGATATTTTGGAGCCAATAGGTGAATGGAGGTATTTTAAGCCCTTTTGTGTTTTTTTATTACTAGTTCTCGAACACGTATAACGCGAGTTATTTCATACCAGTAAACTACATGAACACACAATCAACTATGAACCTATGTGCTCCAAGCATAGTCTATGTCCACATTTCAAAGTTCAAGTATGCAAAAGGCATTCACAGATCAACTTATATATGAATTTGAATTTTTATTGCAACAAAAGCTTTTCATATGTAGATATTATACTAAAAGAAGTGAATATTCTGCTATCTTAGCAATAATACAAAAAGTCTTGATCAATATTTGTAGCTAAATCAATTGTATTTGAATAGATTTAACTAAAGTAGACTCTTTATAGAGGAAAAATCTAATCAAAGAAGGCAAATGAAATAATTGGACAAACCCACCTTATGATACACTTCATAAAGTATTTAATGAATATGAAAAGAATGATCAAATTTAAGTATTATTGAGAAGATTAAACTATATACAATAATAATAACAAAGAAATTTTATATATTAAAATATGAATGAAGAATGTAAAAGGAAGTTACTATTGGAAGATGAAAGAAAGAAAATTTATTGAGTGAAATAAATTTTAGTGTTCCTACACACAATAATTATAGGAATAGTAAACAATTTTTTTTAAAAAAAGTTAAATTTATAAAACAAAATAACGGAAATATAAAGACACATGAAAAATTGAAATGTCAAATATTATTAAAATAAATATAAAAAAGATAGAGATAAAATTTAACTTTAAAAGATATATGAATCTACTTTAATTCCTTGTCTTTAAGGAATAATCACTTATTTTTGTATTTTTTTAAAATTTGTGTGAAAAATTTGAAAGGTCAAAATTTTGAAATGTGAATAAGAAGATTATATATGTATATATATATACATATATATATATATATATATATATATATATATATATATATATATATATATATAATGCTTGGCAATTCTTGGTAAAGCTTATTTATGATTTCGTGCTGAACCCGGTAAACGAACAAATAGGTATTCTTGTACAGTCAAAGGAGATCGATTCCGTAAAAGATGAGATCAGTAAATGACAATTAACTGAAATTTAATCTTTGTGAGATCGTCAATATTGTACTGAGGGCGTCTTTAGTGTATACCAAATCAGTATAGCTATCCTTCTTCTGACACAGCAACGCAATTTGAATTAGTATCAAAAGTAAGTACTAAATAATTTCTTTTTTCCTTTACTTGTTGATGTAAAATCATCGGTAGATGATAATGAGAAAGGGCGCCGCGTCTGGACGGGCGGAATGGATGAGCGAAAGGTGTCATGCCATGGAGTGGGGAATATCCCTCGTCTCATGTAAGACAACTAAATGCACCTCGAGGTGCTGCCGAGGAACTGAGGGACCTTCTCGAGCACAGGATAGGTAATTGAGAGATAGAGCTAGCCTATTCGTTATGGGAAATCAATGCTCCGGGCCAAATAGAGCTTACCTACGGCACCTGGCTTTCTCCGGCGAGCTTTCTATCATAAAGCCAAAGACGCCTATATATATATATATATATATATATACATGTAACGATCTGTTTAGTCGTTTTTGAACAGTAGAGTTTATTCTGGTAATAACTGTCTGGATCGACAGATTTCACGACGGACCGTCATGGGCACGACGGACTGTCGAGGGGGTCTCGTTCCAAAACACTTAGAATCTAAAAATTTGGGTACTGAGAACAACTCTCTGAACTTCGCGACGACATGGCAGGACGGACCGTCGTGGGCACGACGGACCGTCACAGACCCTATAGAGAAATTTAGTCTCTGAACTTTGTGACGGAAGCAGCAGGACGGACCGTCGCAGGCATGACGGGCCGTCACAGGCTGCGTAACCCTGACTGAGTCGGATTTCTGTTAAAAGCTTTAAGAGGCGTTTTGGACTATTCCTGCTTATAATTATAAAGTTAGTGGGTTAATGTTAATAATTCAATTACTTGGGGGTTAAAGGAGATAACCTTGGAATAAATAGTGGGTTACTTTTAGCATCTTTTATACTTAATTATATGGTAATTAGGGTAAAAGAAAAAGGGTTTGAATAAGGAAAAATAGAAAGAACAGAGAGAAGAAGGGAGAGACGAGCGAAAGAAAGAGAAGAATGAAGAGGAAAGCAAAGCATTGACAAAGTAGATTGCGTGATCACAATTCTTCGGTGGAGGTAGGTTATGGTTCATGCTATTTCATAGTAAACTCTTAATAGCGAATGATATGTATTGGGTAGTATTGTAAAGTCTTCTATATGCTTAATTGTATGCTTGCATGATGTGATTATGTAATTGTAATGGGTTGGAAAGATAAGGTTGTGAAGCTTAAACCTAAAACCCTCTCTGTTAATGATGATGCCTTGATATAAAAGAAGGCTTGATGAACTAAAAGAATGAGGTTAATGGATCGGGTGTCACAAATCGACACGTAGTATTAATGGATCGGGTGTCACGAACCGACACGTAGTATTAGGGGATCGGGTGTCACGAACCGACATGTAGTATTAGGGGATCGGGTGTCACGAACCGACACGTAGCATTAGAGAGATCGGGTGTCACAAACCGACACGTAGTATTAGGGGATCGGAGTGTCAAGTTCCGACACCGGGATAGTAAAAAGAATGAATCTTGAATTATGTTAATGGAGTCAATTTAATGAACCTATTTCCCAAATGAGTATGGTATGGAGGCTTGAGTCCTCATGGGTGTACTTGGCGTTATTATCAATGATCCTTGTACTTGTTGCTGCTACCTGTTGAGTATTGTAGTTGATTTTAGGATATTATTTGATGTATATTGCTTTCTATTTTGAGTTGGCCGATGATACCTACTCAGTATTTGTGCTTGTACTGACCCCTACTTGTATGTTTTCTCTTTGTTATTTGTGGAGTGCAGCAAACGTACCGTCGTCTTCAACTCAATCGCAACTCTAGCCAGACTTCAGCATAATCAGATTTCAGGGTGAGCTATTGTTCCTAGCTCGGACTGGATTCTTTCCTTCGCGTCTTGATGTCTTAAAGTTCGGACATGGACCATCTCTTTTACTTATTTTAGCTTCTTAGATACTCTTAGATTTAGTAATTTGAGGATAGATGTTCTTGTGATAATGACTTCCAGATTTTGGGGAATGATAAGTATTGAATTTTAGAAGTTATTAATTGATTTCGTTAATGAGTTTTAAGTCTTCCGCATTATATTCTGTTTATTATGGTTGAAATGTTGGGGTTTAGATTGGTTGGTTCGCTCACATAGGAGGGTAAGTGTGGGTGCCACTCGCGGCTCGTTTTGGGTCGTGACAATATATATATATATATATATATATATATGAAATTATAAAAAAAAATTACATTAGTAGAAAAGCAAAATGATAATTTGAACTTTTTAGTTTGAAGCTTTCCACTTATAATTATGAGTGCATGCAAGTTAAAGTCAAACAAATTATAATTGTCGATTTAACATTTCATAAAATATCAAAATCAAACTTAAAAATATCAAATCATATAAAATTAGTTTAATATAATAATGCTATACGTAATATTGTTAAAAAAATTCAAAATTATCAAATTAAAATTTCAAATATTGTATCATACCACACTTTTCTATTGACTTCAAGTATACCCTACTGTTGTTAAATGAGGTTGTCAATATCAAGAAATAATTAAGTTTTTAAGTGGTCCATGTCTAAAATTTAATTTAATTATCATTTAGAATGATGTGTTTGTAATTTAAGAAAAGAAATTTACAGAAATACATACTTTTTGTTTCACTTTTTTTTTTCTATTGCTTCTTCAAAATTCATTACTTTTTAATATATTCTAACTGCATATTAATGTACTTGAGTCACTATTTAATGTATTTGAACTATATATATGAATCTGAGCTAGTTATTAATATACCTGATTTTTTTAATTCTTAAGGGATTAACGTAATTAGAAATTTATTAGGGATAATTTGTAATGTCATATCAAAACTATGAAATTTATGTAATTTTCCCATTTCTTAACTTTACATAAATATACTAATGATAAAAAAATATTTACCATTTATAGCAATAATATCTTTTTCATTTGATCACTTTTAATTCATATTACATAGAACAATTTATTATTCACATATAATATACATTTTATTGATGAATAATACATTTATCACACATTTTAATACACTTATAATACAATGTGTCAACTTTTTACTAAACAAGCGTAATATACTTTTAAAAATAATTATAATACATATACATTGCATACTTAATTAAATTTAATTACATATTGTAAATTTAACATAATATTATTATAAATGATAATAAATGAAAAAAATATAACTAAAAATCTATAATTATTTATTAGAAGACATTCCACTTAATTTTTCCTTCAAGAAAAGTGGCCCATTAATAGAAAAATGATTGTTGGGCCAAGATCCACTTGCATGTTGGCTACTACCCAAGGTTCATTCACATAAAAATCTCTAGATGATTTTTAATTTTTAAATTTTAGTAAGTTGAGTAATAATATTGCAAAGGCCAAAACATTTCATAGACATATATCATGCCTTATAAAACATAAGTTCATATTAAGAAGTTGGTATATTAAACTTGTGCCTTTTTGACAATTTTTTTTTTTTAGCTCAGTGAGTGATTGAATGAGTCAGTTCCCTAAATGGTCATTCAAGTCAAGAGAATAGTCTTTTCATTTAGGACTAAAATATCACTCAATTATCACTATTTTTCTCCAAATATATTTGACATTTCAAAATCATCACTTTCTCCTAATTGGCATGACATGTCATTAAAGTCTTTTTTTAATAATAAATTAAGTTAATTCATCGAACCCATTTGACTAAAATGATGGTCATATTATTTTTTTAATTTTTTTAGTTTATTATTAAAATCTTTTATCATATCTAAACTTTTTATTCTTTTTTATGTTATGAAGAATACATTTTAAAAATGTACTATAATTTCATCAATTTTGGATATTTATAGACACATACATTCAAAAAAAATATTGATATACAAATCATTCATGAAAACTAATTTACATCAATTAATCATAATTTTTATAATAAATCAATAATATTAAAGGTCAATTAACTATCATGATAATACTAATTGTGTATTTGGTAATTCATGCTTCCGATATTATTATTTTTTTGAAGAAAAAAAAAGAGTGAATAATATTATATTTTTTATCCATTAAAATACTAAATACCTCAAAAGTCTCCTTAAATTCTAGTTGATATGTTCTGTCATTAAATCATCATTTAAAAAAATAATTGACCTATTTAATTCATCAAATTTATGTCTCAACAAAATAAATATATAAATTATATGAGAATTTATGAAGATTATAACCCAAAAAAAAATTAAAAAGTCTAGTAACTTTATATATTGTCACCAAACAAAATTCAATGAAAAAATCTCTGTGTGCACTTGTTACATGATATTTTAAAATTCCTAACTAAATTATTTCAAAATTTTAAGCAATTTATTTTATGAAGTATTTAAATAAATTTTTAAGGATCCCTTAAAAGTGGTAAGAAGAAAAATTCTTATTTAACTTTTACCCTTTTTATCTTTATTTTTATTCTTTTATTATATATTATATTATATTATAACTTTTCATACAATTTAACAAACATAAATAAACTAATAATTAATTGAATTTCCTAATTTAATTCAATAATATATTATATGAGATTAATATACTGATAATAAAGATTAAAATTTTATTTTCTATAAATATTATTCACTTACTATTTTATTTGAAAAAAGGATATAGTAAGTATATATGGATTTCAAAGCATCCAAATAATTATATTTTTAATAATTAATTGACCTTCAATGTTATTGATTTATTATACAATTTATAATTAACTGAAGTAAATTAGCATTCATGATTGATTTGTACATCAATATTTTTTTGAATGTATGTGTTTATAAGTATTAAAAATTGATGAGATTATAGTACATTTTAAAAAGGTATTCTTCATAGCATAAAAAATAAAAAGATAATTATGATAAACGATTTTAAGTATGAAAATTTATTCTTAATATATTAACAAAAAAATTAAAAATAATATGATCATTATTTTAGTTAAATGAGTTTAATGAATTAAAAATTAGTCTACTATTAAAAAAAAGACTGTAACGACATGTCATGTCAACTAGTAGAGAGTGATGTTTTTGAAGTGTCAAGTATATTTTGAGGAAAATAGGGATAGTTGAGTGATATTTTGGACTTTAAATAAAACACAAATGATATTTTAAGACAATTCCCTTTACTTGAGTGACCATTTAGAAAATTGACTAGTGATTGAAATAATTTATTTCAAATAACTTTTGACTTATAAATTCTTTTTTATTATTAGAGGGGTCTAGAAAAGATTAAAAAAAGTGTTTTCAAAAACTTTTTTTGGCTGAAAAAGTTTATCTTAAAAAAGAAGAAAGCTAAAAGTAAAAAAATAGGTATTCTTCATCAGAAAAATAAGATTTTTGCCTTTTTAATTAATGTGAATAATAAAGACATTTTTTACTCTATAAACCCTTAAAAAAGTTATATTTTGTGGTGCATGACAGATAGAGAAGCAAAGGCAAAGAGGTCTTCATGCAATATCTAATAAGGAAATAAATATGGTAAGTGATTAATTATAAATACAAACTTAATATGAGAAACACATTTCATCTAAAAATATTATTACTAAGGTAGATTTGATACTTTTGAAGTTGAATCATACGTATATATGTATATATGATCGTACATTTTTTTCTTCTTATAATTTTTTTTAGTTCTTTGATCGATTCTTCCCTCCATATAAATAAATATTTGATATCAATAAGTGAACACATGAACTAATCGAAAAGAATTAAATATCTACATAAAAAATAATTTTAATCATATATAAATATAAAATATTTTTTATAAAAAAAATTCGAATGAACCCTAATAATATGTTCTCGCTCCGCCCCGAACATAGTGGGAGGATTTGGGCAAATAATTTTTTTAGTATATACACGTGAAAATAACGTGGGATTTTATCTTTTATTCTTTTGTGCACGTGAATATGTACTAATTAAAACTTTGTTCATAGAACTTGGGCCTATTTAGACCGCAAGGTCTCTATCGGCCAGCTTATGATTTTTACTAAATATAAAGGATACGCAGTTACGGTTTTTCTGAAACTTTTTCGACAGAAAATTACATATTTATACATAGTTAATATAACTTTTAATGCATATATTCAGTTAGCTTTTGTGTTAATTTCTTTAGATTTTGAATCCTCTTAGTGATTTAACTTCTTTAGATTTTGAACCCTCTTAGTGAAAATTTTGGCTCTAATAATTAACAACGTAAATCATTACTTTTATAACTCCCATTAATGCTCCTTCTTGTAATAGCTCCAACATTTACTAATTGAATTACATTTCGACTTACTCTAGACAAAACATGACTTACTCTAGATGAAACATATCATATGTATAAAAAACTATAATCATATAATAATAATAATAATAAATAAGACAAACAGAAAAGAAGACATGAATATGTTAAGAATAAAGATAAACTATATTTCTTAAACTACATATTAAAGGATATATCAGTAATCAATTTTTGGGCATAGATATTATAGTATATGCTATTTGTTGATGACATAGTCCTGATCTATGAGAGTTACAACGGAGTTAATGATAAGCTGAAGAATTGGAGGCAAACTTAGGTGTGGATCAAATTGAGTAGGACAAGGACAGAATTCTTGGAGTGCAGTTTTAATAACGTGATACTGTAAAAGGATGGAGTGGAAGGCTTGATATCCAGGCCATCCAAAAGATAGGAAGTTTCAAGTATCTTAGGTTTATTATCATAATAGAAAAATTGACAATAATGTTACATTGGTTCAACGTGGATAAAATGAAGGCTAATTCACTTTCGAAGTTGGAAGAAATTAACCACCAAAACTTAAAAGATAAGTTCTATAGTGTTGTGGTTATATTGACATTGTTGTATGGAGTGAATTAAGTGGAGTGGTCTACAACCACTTTATAGGATTATGGTGAATGTCTCATTGTTATAATATTCTTAGAAAAGTAGAAAGATTGAAAAATTATTTAGATTTTGATATTATAATCAAACCCGCGTTTTGCTGGCAACAAGAGAGTGAATTGCAGCACATATATATTATTAGACAATTACAACCAATAGTTTTAGCAATATTGTGAGGCTATTGATGGTTGACCCCCCTTAATTAAACAACAATCTCAATCAAACTATTACATTAATAAAAGTGTGTTTGAAAATGAATTGACTTATTTTAAATAGATTTTGATTTTCAAGTTTTAAATTTTTAAATTTTTAGAGGTATTTTAGACAGGGGGAAATTACACGGTTAACTAAATTTATACTATTTAATTACTCATTATAGCTATAGTTTGCTATAATTATCACTCATGACTAACATTATACATTAATTACGTGGGCTCACTTCGAGTTTGTATAATTAGCCACGTTTGTATATGTATAATTCGCCAGAATATACAAATACATATGTATAATATATAATTATCTAACTGATATACATATAAAATTCACCTCTCTGGCCTCTCTCGCTCGCCTCTCTCCTTCCTCTCCAATCTCGCTTGCCTCTCTCCTCCCTCTACCAATCTCACTTCCCATATATACAAATGCGTGTGTATAATATACAATTTTCTAACCGATATACTTATATAATTCACCTCTCTCCCACTCTCTGTCCTCTTCCGCTCGCCTCTCTCCTCCCTCTCTCAATCTTGCTCGCTTCTCTCCTTCCTGTCCCGATTTCTCTCGTCTCTCTCAATCTCGCTTGTCATATTTACAAATATATATGTATAACATACAATTATCTAACTGATATACATATACAGTTCACCTCTATCACGCTCCATGCTCTCTCTCTCTCTTGCCTCTCTCCTCTCTCTCTCCCAATATCGCTCGCCTCTCTCCTCCTTATAACATGTAGCTACGAATTTTGATTATCAAACTATAGCTACGGAGAGTAATTAGACAATTTTAAAGTGACTATATGTGAAAATTTCTCGATAGAAAGACGCTTTATTTTAGGATGAAGTAGTATAAAAACAAGCTAACAATCAAAAGTTGAGTCCGTCAACTAATTAGTTTATAAGTAACTCAAAAGAAGCAACACACTCTTACTCCTTTCATCCCAAAATAAGCGTCATCTTAAAGCTTATTTACTGTCCATTAAAAAACAACATACAAGATATAATTTACCTTTATGAAATTACCACTACTTATTAGAAATCAATTAACTATTACTTCTTACTTCTTATATAAGAAGAATATATAAATAATTGAAACACTATATATAATAATAATAATAATAATAATAATAATAATAATGGAACCAATACTTTTTAATCAATCATTTAGTAGATTTTGGTCTTTCAAGACCCACATGACCATAAGGTACTTTTTCTCCCTCGTCTATTTTGTTATTATAAAAATACATAGTGGGATCATGAGCTAAGATTCACATGTATATTATAGATAGAGTACAAATTAAGCATCTTTTGGAACAAATATAAAACATTATCTTATTGCCAAGTTTTAATTATTGGAATGGAAAAAAAGAAGAAACAAAGGATCCAAATGCTTTCGAAAGTAACTAGCAATATTTCATTGATTCTTCAAATTACATATAGTAAAAAATGGTCAATTGACGAAACTAAATCTTAAAAATTGATCATAATAATGAATATATAAATTATTTTGTGACACATAAACTAAAACGATACACCGAATTAGGCAAGTCATAATGATCATCAATTGTTAGGTTATCGATCTCTTTAATTTAATTAGAACCATTCAAACACATATTAATTTAATGTAATGATCCACCATATCATCATGCCATCTAGGTGTCACTTGACACATTTATTTTTTCCACATAGAATATTTACACAAGAGGAAGACTAGTACTTTGTGGAAAAAAAATCTAAAAAACTATGGAGATTTTTCTTGAAAGACCTTAGAAATTATGAAATTTCTTAGGAAGTCCTTAGAACCTTCTAAGGTTGTAGACAAAATTCTAGAGAAGAAACTTATAAATATTGAGAAACTCGTATATCAATTAATAATTATACATTAATTAGCAAGTCGTAGTAATCGATTTGTTCCTAAAGGACGACCTAGGTCATTAATCTCTTTAATTTAATTAGACTTATTTATAGTTATATTAGTTTAATGTGATGACCCACCACATCATCATATCACTTAGGTGCTATTTGGCACACATTTTTTCCATGTAGAATGTTTACAAAAGAGGGAGATTAGCTCTTGTGGAAAGATTTTAGAAAATATATATGGTGATTATTTTTTAAATACCTTAGATTCTTATGAATTTTTTTTTAAAAAAAATCGTTGAGACGTTTTAATATTGTAGAGAGTCTAATGAGGCGCGAGAATTATAAATATTGAGAAAGTTGTGTATCAATTAATATTTATACATTAGCTCATAAATTGCCAGTATAAATAGAGATAACTTATTTATCAAGTATACGGCCACAAAACGATACTTTTTGAATACTTAAAATCAAAAGGGAGACCCTCTCTAAAATCAGAGACCTAAACGAACAATCATTCATTTATAGGCGAACTGTGCCGAACAAATGAGTGAGGGTCTCTTTTGATCTATAATGTCTAAGCAAACAGTTTTTCTTATCTGTCATTTACTCAACGATCTATAACTCATATTGACTTAACATATTAAATTCGTGAATAAGTTATCAAGTGACAAACATAAGACTAAGGACGTGATATTAACCTCAAACTCTCTAATTAGTTGGTCCATATATATATATTTTCTCTTGATGTCAGACTCCAATCTAGCTATGTGCTAGCTACTTGATTTAGTTAGAACTAAATCATAATTCAAAACGTTAAATCATCCACCTCATATCACCAACATATATCTATGAACCCAAATAAAAGTGATAAAGCCATATAGTGTACGTACGTGTGTGTGTGTATACATAAAAACCACAAGTTTTGAAAGATTTTAAAGAATGAAGCAATAAATATATTATTATTCTAGTAACCACTTGGACAAAATGATGGTGATTAAAGGGTGAAAAGACACCCTACCATAAACATGGAATGTGAAAATGTTCCTTTCAAAAACTAGACACGTAGTGTGTTTTGCTTTTGCACGAGAGAATAGAAACAAAGAGGAAAAGGGTCCCAATAACTTAAATGCTAAGGATATTTGGTGACTAAATGGACATATGTAGAATAAATTTGTAATGTATTGTCACCAAGTAACACACATGTTGTACCCTTACACATGCACACACCATTAGTTGGAGTATGGACTATGGAGCGAGAGGCAGGTTGGTAGAGACGGATTTAAAATTTTGAATTTGTTGAGTTCATATTTATTTAAAAAAAAATTTATACTTTTTAAGATTGTGATTTCATATTCGAATAATTATTAAAATTTTAAATATATATATTTTTATGTGTATATTTAAATTTTATGTTTGAAAATATTGAATTCAATATTTTACATGTGTCATTGGATGAGTTGTCTCCTTTTCCTCTCTCCCAATGACGATGGACTTCCCTAAGGCAATTCATTGTACTAGCAAGATAACAAGTAACAAATGTAGCCTTGCAAGAAAAAAATAAGCAATAGATAACAATAAGAAACAAACAAATATTAATAGATTCAATATCATTCGAGTATCGTGTAAAAAGTTTAGTAAATGATGTAACTTTATTTTTTAATTCATTTCATTAAATTAAATAAGTGTCATGTTGGATTATGAATGATTCGGACCTATGCCACCTTCGTCGGTTTTATCACAGGCAAGATATTGACATTACTCAATATTTCCCCTTTCAATATCTGCCAAATGGAGCATGTTGTTCTTGGACTTAAATTCACGATCTTGACTTTTATACCATTTGATAGGATCAAGATTCAAGTGCTTATAAATATTTCAAAAATTGTAGCTGACAATAAAGGTGCAATTTTATTTCTTTAACTAGTTTACCAATCATACGTCGAACCCTCTCAAGTTCCTTATCTTAGACAAGGTATTGACATTATATATATACATATATATGATCTCATCAATGATGTATAGAACGTAAATGGTGCCAAAATCTCCTTATCCATTTTGTGTGAATCGTAATAAGCTTTTAATGGTGACAAAAAATTTCTTATCCATATTATATGTATTGTAACGAGTCCATTTATCAATTTTCCTATTTAAATTTTTTTATTATGAACTATTTATAATTTCCTTCGCCCAACTTATTTTTGGATGGAAATTTGTAGATTTAAATTTAAAAAAAAAAAAGATATTTAACCTCATTATTGTGTTTGTATTAGTCATGAAATATTGATTTTTAACTTTTTTTGAAAAGAAAATTTCGACTCCATATCCAGAGTAGTAATGAAGGTCGCCTTAGTTCGTTTTTGTAATTCATAGTAGGTCGATTTTTTAATTTTAGAAAAGTGTATACCGTATATTAAATCAAAATAATTTGGTTATGTTCGATTTTTTTTTACTTCAATTTTGTTTAATTCAGTGTTTTTAAATCGATTTTTCGGTGTAAATGAAAAATAAAATATGGATAAAGTATAAGCTACTTAGAAATATAAAACTATGTTAAGGAATGATGCATATCATCATGAGGTACTTATTGTGCTAACTAAAAGACTATATTTGTATTTATCAAGAACATTGTGCCTCCAACTATTTGTCGAGAAAAACAAGTACGAAGACGATTCCTTTACATAATGTACATTGGCAGAAATATGTTTGAGTTTCTCTTGGAAATTAATATTTGAAGTTAACTATTAAATTATACATTGATTGTTACATTGATTTATTCATGAATGATTTAATTATTAGTTGAATATTCAATTTTTAGTTAAGAGTGTCACGACCTAGATTCTGGAATCCGAATCGTAACAGGCGTCATTGACTCTCAGAGGTCGCAGACAAGCCTCTTCTTGCATTCATTACATTCATATGGTTAATTTTAGCGGTAAATTTAAAACTTTTTGTTTATATTTGAAGTATATGTAGACTTCATATTGTAAACATATAAACACGTATTTGTAAGAAAGTTCATTACTCGTACATCAACCATCTAGTTATAGAAACATACAACTTGAAAGAAATAGAATCTCATGTCATAAGTAGTACTTGTCAAAACGACATCATTACAAGTGTCTGAATAAAATGGGAAAGAAACACTAATGGAACATACTCCGCTAGTTCAAACCTATTACTAAGCAAGAAATGTGAACGCAAGCATCCTCGAATGCATGAGGACCTACCAAGTCCGAATGAAATCTCTGAGTTTGAACAACTGCAATGATACCTTTAACGTTCACCTGAGCCTGCACCTAAAATAGTAATATTGTATGGAATTAGTATACACTTGTACTAGGTATGAGTATATGTAGCAACACATATCGGTAATGCATGAACAAGAATGGCTCTTCCTAATCAACATGTTTTCTTAGAAGATCAAGTCTCTTGACTTGCCTAATTCGTAATAGGAAGGTCATACTATGATTATGTCACACATCATACATACATAGGGTCACATAATATACATTTCATGTTTCATATCCACGAGACCTTAGAATCATGGACGTAGCACTAAGACATCTCAAGTGAGGGCCCAACATATGGAACCTTAACCCGAGGGCTTCCGTTAACAAACACAGAGTCTACTTCATTCGTTCATTCGTACTTCACATTATCCATTTCATTCATTCATAGGCTGATGTAAACACCAGTTATACCTAGGATGAAGTTTAAGACTCTCATCGAGATCATGAAGTGCAATGACCAAGAATGACCAAATGTCATTACTTGAAACTGGTTTCACCTCCTGATTGTCTTGCACAAACACCTTTGGTATCGTTCATTTAATTATCTTTCATACTTTGAGGAATTTCAACCTTAACCGACATAGATCATGTGAGCATCATGAAATCCGGTGTCTCCCCCACACCGAAAAGAGGTGGAGTCACTGACCAAAGTGAAACCAAAAACTAGCTTTAGGGGTTCAAACCAAGCTAGTTCCCTATGTTGGCAACATAGGCTGATGTAAACACCAGCTATACCTAGGATGTTTCTTGAGTTGTACTAGGTTAGTGTAAGAATTTTGGTTTGACCCCTTTAATTTAATTAATTTAATGGCTAATTCAATTAATTAAGTGACCTAGGGTAATCACTAAAGTACCCTTAAGTCGTTATAACCATAACTAATCTTTTGAACCATCCTAGGTTAGGTACTAGGTTGTCTTTTTCTTGTTTTAACCAAAATCTGGAAATTGCTTTGTGATTTTTGTTTTGCCCCTTTAAATTAATTAATTAAGTTGCTAAATTAATTAATTAAGTAGCCTAGGATAATTACTAAAGTATCCCTAGGTTGTTAGGACGTTAACTAACTCTTTGGACCATCCTAGGTTAGGTACTAGGTTGTCTCTTCAACTAGTACTAGGTTAGTGTCAACTCGGTTTAGTCTTAGGTTGTCGAGTGCACTTATTAGTTTATTTCTTTTGATCCTAGCTTAGTTAGCTAGTTAGGGTAGTAGGTTAGAGTTTAGAATTGGTTAGAAAAGTAGGCCTCACATGGAGTGGTCCCTTGTGCACGTTTTCCCCCCTAACTACCCTAATCGAAATTAGGGTGGTCCCCTCCTTTGGTCGCTTCTTCACATGTCTTGTACATGTGCTTACACATGGGTTGATAGTACTTTCCTAACTAACTATTATTGATGTCCTATTTGGAATATTTACTTATTGTCCCAAGGACCCTCACCGTGTCCTTGGGAACTGCTTAATATACATGATCATTTTAAATGATCATGTGTTATGTGCTATGGTACTAGGTTTAAAAAATTAAAAAAAACACACAAAAACTGCACACCATTGGGAATGATAATAGAACGGTGCGAGTAAGATGTGGGGTGAATTTAAATTTATGCGTGGCGAAATAGATTCAAATATTTTTTTTAAAATAAAATTATATATTTTATTGCAGTTAAGGATAAATACATATTATATCCTGTGGAAACTGAAAGTACCAAGTATCAAATTATCTAAATATCTAATGGAATGCTATTGGATCAAATGTCAAAGATATTGTTGAGAAAAAGATCAATTTTTTTCGGATGAAATGAAAATTGAATTCATGTAACAGGAGAAAGATTTTTCATTCCTTAGCCGGAAAGGCATGTTGCCATGAAAGAGGAATTAGGTGGAACAAAATAAAATTTTGAAAATATATAGGGAAATTGAATATCACATGTCCAACACTAATATTTATTGGGTTGTTTTAATATCGAGTTTGAACTTATTTTACATGAAAACTATTATCACTATCATTATTTTTATTTTTATGAGCAGCTTTAGGTAAAAGATAGAATGATTTGGGGTGGGCACGTTGAGAATATCAAATTATGTTATGCGGGTTAGGATGGGTTAAAGCTTTCGTAAGTAAAAAAAGAGTTGTCTCGGACCACTTGTTATGTAGAGAATAGTAGAAGAAAAGTATAATTGAAAAACTTTTTGATAGCCCAAAATTGTTAACTAGGATCGAAAGATTTAACTAATTAAAGAAGAGGAAGCAAGAAAGGAGGAGGAATAATTTGGATAGGAGAACTTGATTATATAAAAACACTCTTTTATTTGATTTGTTCTTAGGTTAATTACAAATGTCTAATGTCACATCTATTTATACTTGTAAAGGGATGCTTCTAAAAATTATTCTAGGTACATCTACAAGAAATATCTATATATTCTTTTCTTCTAACTATATAACAAACATCTAGACGTTTATACTTTAATATAAATATCTAGTTATCGTAGAACATCTAGATTTTTTCTAAGTATAAATGTCAGAGATATCTATTTTACAAAATTCTACTAATAAATATCTAAGTTTTTGTTGTACCTTCAAAAAATAATAGAGTTAATAATAGAAACAAAACAACACTCGATTGACTATCTATAAACTTTCTACTTTAATTCTCGACCTATGCATCCTTCTATATAGGGTCATGTCTTCGGTAAACGTCAAGTGTATCGTATCTTGTCTAATAACCTCTACTCAATATTTTTTTTGACCTACTTCTACTTCTCCCCACATCCACATATAATAGTCAGCCTCTTACACCTCTTCATTGAGACATCTGAGCACCTGCTCTTCACATGTCTGAACCATCACAGTCTTACCTCTCTTATCTTGTCCATCACTGAAATCATTCTCACCTTATCTCGAATTTCATCATCTCTAATTCTATCTCTCCTAATATACGCACACATTCATTTTAGCATCTTCGTTTTCGCTAATACTTCATCTTTAGGATGTACGAGTGCTTTGAAAGGCCAACACTTCGTCACATACCATATATATGATTAACAATTACTTTATAAAGTTTTTCTTTTCGCAAACCCACTTCTGCCTCCAATTCAATTCCCTGCATGAATGTTTTTTTTTTCTTCTGTAATTATTTTGTCTTTTTGAAGTTTGTAACTAAATAAACACGCCTAAGTTTAACATTAATGTTCATTAGCTTAGTGGCAAATAATGTTATGCTTGTTTAGAGTGACCCAAGTTTAAAACTCACCTCCAATAAGAATTTTTTTTCAATTAAAATTGAATTATTTAACTTCCTTAAATTTTAATATCTTTTTCTTGTGGAATAAGATTTTCCTATATTTTTTAATACCTTTTTCCTTCGTGGGATAAGATTTTTTCAAAATTTTAATACATTTTCTTTATGAAATAAGGTTTAAATTGAGAAAAAAAGATCCTTAAATTGTAATATCTTTTCCTTGTGGAATAAGATTTTAATTTCTTTTTCTTTGTATAAGATTTCCTTAGATTTTAATATATTTTCCTTTTGGAATAAAGTTTTCTTTCTCTATAAATAGGAGACAAACTTATACAAATTATATCATAATATTATTAAAAACAGAATCTCTATAAATCATGGGTTTTTTTTTATAAAAAAAATACTATTCAAAGTTGGGGAAAATAACAAATATACCCCTGAACTATCGCACATGGTGTGCAGATACCCTTCGTCATATTTTTGAGACATTGGTGTTATGTCGTCCAAAAACTTAAGCATATATACACTTCTCTCTAACGGAAGACTAAATAGGGACACGTGACACAATCTTATTCGTCGATCCGATTTTAATACATGTTGGGTCGGTGGATAAGATTATGACACGTATATGTCCAATAGTATAAAGGGTATAATATTCTAGTTTTTGGACGGTGGGGGAATCAATATCTCAAAAGTATTTGCATACCATTTACAATAGTACGGGGGTATATTTGTGTTTTTTCCCTTTCAAGTTTGAACCCCTTGATAAAATTCTTGGCTACGCCTCTGGTCATTCAAGAGAAGTCCCAACCAAAAAAAATTCATATTCAATGCTCGAATCGAAAACCCCTAATTAAGAATAAAACAGTTTCACCACTGCACCATAACACATATTTATTTTATGAGTTACTCATACCCCAAGTCTTAGCGTCCATAAAAAATTGGAAATTTATAACAAGATAAAACTTTTTTAAAAAACATTTTTAAAGGATAATTAACTAAGCAAAAACTCTTTAGTCAATGATTTAAGTTCACTTTAATAAAAGATAATAAACTAAGCATACACTCTTTAGTCAATGATTTAAGTTCACTTTAAATAAATAATGTGTATCAAAGTTCAAGTTAGCTAGTCATTTGAACAAGCACAAGAAAAGATGATAAATTAAACCCAAACTAAATACTTTTTAATTACACCTTCATATTAAATTCTAAAGATGTAGGTAGTTTATTTTGTAGCTTCTGTTAGAGGTTAATATCTATAACTTTATTGGATTTATCGAAATACTTTAATTAATTTATTTATAATTAAATATAAAATGTTTCTTCATAACCAAATCTTTTAATCAGTTCATAAGTACAATTATTAGCATTAATTATTAACCGTCCATGTGAGGGATCATGTGGTCAACTTACATAACAAGCACAACTGAACATTAAATAAAGAAAAATGGCACAACCGCCTATGTCAGTGTTTTAAAAGGTATACAGTATAAGTATAAGGTAAGACGTAAGTTTCGAGATATGGATGTAAGTTTCATGGATCTATAGGGTATAGTCTCATGTATATTATTATTTGATAAATATCATTACACCAATAATAGAAACATGATGTAAAACAAAAAAGGTTAAAAATAAATTAAAAACACTCGAGCGTATGTTTTTACGCCCAAGACATATGTTTTTACGCTCGGGGACTTATGCCTCAAATTTTAGGACTTACGACTTATATATCTACGTCTTTAATTTACGCCCAAAGCGTTTTGGTACGCCCCGCCCCAAAACTCGCCCCAAAAACGTTTTTGAAAACACCTTCCTATATATATAGGCACAACTGCCTACATATTTTAAAAAATAAAATCAATCATTCTATATTTATTTTAATCATACTCAATTTAGTTTTGTACTAATTAATATAGTATTTATTCGTCCATAAATAGTGAATGTTGATCTTCAAGATTTTGATAATTTTGAAGAAGAATAGACTTTAGAATTTTAGTATTGCTTGTCAATTTTCTTTATGAATTATTGAGTTATTCAAGTTCTAGACTTTTGGTATCTACTGTTAGTTTTTGAATTGAAATATTTGCTAATATATGTTATTGCTATTGAAATTTTTGATATTTATATATACAATTAAATATTTTAATATTTTGTTAATAATTGACGCCTCAATTCAAGAAGTTGAACGTCTCGCCACGCTAGACTCTTTATTGCTTTTATCACCTTTCACCGTCCAAAATACTAAATCAACCTCTCATAACTCCGAAGTTTAAAGTCAATATCTCTTATTAAAGAAAAAAACAAACTCACTAATTTGCAATTCATCCAAAAACACAAATGAATGAAGATAACCCATAGTTGAATAGGAGAGACTTGGGGCAAGTATCAAAATGGTCCAAGGGGGTGATTAATTACATCATAATGTGAACATGGGGTGAAGAAAAGGGACAATTTATAATGGACCCCAATATAATTTGCTTGTATTATTATCTTTATTAAATTATTATAATTTATTTATTATTATTATAAATAGAAGGGTCTTTGAGGGTTGATAGAAGGAGGCTATATATCATCAACCATTATCATTTATCAACATTGTCCTCTCTCTCTGGTATCCTATGAATCTAACAACCCTACCCTTAAGTCTCTAAAAACAATAAATTTCTCTCCCAATTTTCTTAATATTTCAAATTTCAAAGAATTTTCTAACATCTTCTAGCTCCTACTACACCTATAGGCAATAATATAAAGTAAGTAGTACTAATTGGTACCCCTTTTTATCTATTACTAGTACTAGTATCTTTATATCTTCATAATTTTGTATTCTTTTATTTATTTGGTTCATAAGCATCTTTACCATTTATATAGTCTTGAAAAGAAAAAAAGGATACTTTTTTTATGCAGTTCTTGATGGTAATATGTGAGTCTTGATCTGTAATTAGAGCTTATTATTCAAGAATTGTTTTGTATATCCTGCTTCTGTCTCTTTGAACTGCTTTTTACTCATATTTTAGTCTTTCTTGATGATGGATGATGATTTACCTTGGATCTTCACATTTTATTCAATATTGAAAAGTTCTGGTTTTGGGTGTTTTATTACATGATTTGTAATTTGTGGTCTGAGATTTCCTTGTTATCTTGAAAAGGGTTTTTTTTTTCTCCTTTGTCTATTTACATTTGGTATCAGGAAAATGAAATTATTACAGTTTTTTAGCAGAAGTTTTTCTGGTTCTTGGATCCATGTTCATAAAGATTTGTTTTTTCAAAGGAATAAAACTGAACTTTTAAAGGAAGATGAGGACTTTCTAATCAATGGGGTTTCCATTTCTTGTTTGAGATGTGTAACATAGCTCCAATTTTCATTTCTTGATGCTTTTCTTGGAGGACTGTGTTCCATTTATAATTGTCTTACTGCTGTGGGTTGTTTAACTTTTCCTCATAATTGACTTATAGATTCTTGTTTCTATGCAGGTCCAGTTCAGTCAGCTGTTCCAGAAGTTGTTGCTAGTAGAAATCTCTAAGTTTCAGCCTAGGTAAAAACTCCTTTTTTCAGAAATTCTGTTCTGGATGGCCTCTTTTTGTTTGGATCATCTTGACCTTAATATTGCATAAGTAGAAGCAATTACTAGTCTTGTTGTCTCCTTATGCCTCTATTTTCTTACTATCCTGTTGTTGTTACTGCATATGTCTACATAAATGTTGTGTTTTTTGCTTTTGTTGAGTCGAGACTCGAGGGTTTATCGGAAACAGTCTCTCTACCTGCCAAGGTAGGGGTAAGTCTGGGTACACTCTACCCTCCCCTGAGCAGGCTGTTTATTCCAATCTGCTTGGAATATCTGGTTAGCAATTTTGTGAAGTTATTTTAGCTAAATGAGTGTATGTAACTTGGTTGTGAGATGTATTTTGACAGACTGTTTTGCTAAAAGAATATGAAGCTTGTGGTGTTGCTGTTCTTGTTTGAGAAACTATACTCATTGGTCAGTTTATAGTTTTGCCTGAAATTCTATATGACTAATGGTTGATGTTTCGTTTTATGACTAGATTCCAATCCAGTATGGGACTCTCACAGTATCCAACTCCAGCAGATGCAGGAGTGCTCTGTGTTATTCTAGTGAACACAGCCATATCCATCTCCATTGTCAAGGAGATGGTCCGATCGATCCTTCATGTGATTGGCATCCACATTGCATCATGGGACGATTATTCCATCGAAGGCTCCTTGGACTCGTTTGAATGTCGCAGAAGCCCATCAGAGTCATATATGGAGGAATTCAGAAGCCATACCCCTGCAATTCGTTATGATTCCATCTGTATCTCTAACCACGCTGAGAAAGAGTGCTCAGTCTGCCTGACGGATTTTGAGCCTGACGCAGAGATAAACCATCTCTCATGTGGCCATGTTTTCCACAAGCATTGTTTAGAGAAGTGGCTCAAGTACTGGAATGTAACTTGTCCACTTTGCAGGAATTACATGATGTCTCAAGAAGGCGAAGAAGATACTTGTCCTATGTGAGGTTAGAAGTTTATCGAGGCTATAGCACTACTATACATCTTGAGTACAGCTTAGTAGTGTACATGCAATGGTTGATCTTTGACATTGGGTAGTTTCGTATTTGTAATGCTTGGCGTCCTCTCAGAGTGACGGGTCTCTTTACTGCGACCAAGAATTCATACATTCGCGTACATAATATATGGAAAATTTTGCTATGATGTTTTCCATCATGAATGGTTTTTTTCTGCTTGCTTAGTTCTGAGAGGTTATTTTCAGTGTCCGGGAAGCTATGTTGTTTGGATTGTTTGACCCATCCAATATAAAAAGGCACTACTTTGACAACATTTTTTGGGTGGGGATGGAGGGGTTAGGCAAAAGCATGTGCAATGATTGAACCAATAAATAATATAATGTACAACCAAGCATTCTTCCATGACTTCACAACTAATCAGAGACAGAAAACTTTAGTCGTTTAATTACACAGATAGGTAAGAATTACCCTAGATATGAAACATTAGTTTTGAGTCATTTTTCAGCAGCCAGTTCAGAGAGTTTCGAGCCGACGGACTTGCTATTTCGAGTCAGGCTAGCACTCCTGTGGTACCTGCATCTGAAAGAACCCGCGTGTGTGGTTGGTGAGCACAAGCAGTTATACTTTGCGCTCTTTGGTTGGCCTGAAGGTGAGGATGGCATTGAAGATGCCATATGCTTAATGCCCTCCAAGACACTGCTCGGCACAATCAACTTCTTCTTAGGTCCTCCATTCTCAATTGTATCTTCACTCACACTGGATTGTTTAGCCATCTCTTGACTGGACTCTGCAAAACAGAGAACAATAATCTTTTGTAGGATCCTTGTAAAGTCGTAAGACCATGTATAGGGGCTAAAACCCGCCTAGAGCCAGATAGATGTCCAGGAGAGGGTATTATTTGTCATGAGTCACCAAAGGTGCATATAAGTTGCCCGAGCATCAATCAGCCTTTAAGGGACAAAGACGAGGAAAAGAAAGAACTAGAAAATTTATGAAGAATATTAATTTCCATTGCTTTTTAATTTCTCTTTTCACTTATCCAAATGAAATTGGTCTTCTTTTTCTTCCTTGAATCCAAATGAAAACGCATAATCGTATGTCTACATTATGTATCTTATTTCCCACCATATGTCTAACATTATGTTACCATGATCAAAATTAAGATCCAATTTTTTCCATTATTAAAGATTCAAAATAAAAGGCATTTACATTACAGAGTAAAAAAATAATAATAACATAACATTTAATACCTGAAAATCTGGTTTGCAATGAAATAAGAAATATGCGAAAAAGGAGGGAACCTTTTAGCTACGGCAATGGGTATAGACCTCTTCCCTTATCAATTCCCTTTTTTTAGGCAATTTCGTATTTCTAATGATTCAGTCTTACCTGATGATTAGCGAAGATTCCAATTTAGATAGCTTGAAGATCTGATTACGGACCGGAAGCGAAAATGCATCAAGGAGAAAGAAGAAGGATTCTAAGAAGAATTCCTTCCAAAAGAAAAAACAATTCCTCTCCAGGAATAATTCTTAGTTTCTCCTCTCATGTTTATGCTTTGGCTTTTCCTGAGGCTCTTGTCATTTCTGTTTTTCACACCACTATTTTTACTTTTTTACTTTTTATTATGATATTACTAAAATATATTGGCAGACCAAAAAAATGCATGGATTGAGATAATCCTAAGAAAAATGAAGTCTTATTATCTTGTATAAACATGTTTTGGGCCATCTTGATAATATCCAAAAAAAAACAAGTCACCTAGATTCCCACAATCTTGGGTACAAGTGAAATCTCACACAGACCTAACCACTACCGCGTGAAGGTAGAGATGTTTTTCCAAAGGACCCTCGTCTCAACTGCAACGATAAAAAAGAAGCTTATGTCCTTAGGTGTTTTCCTTTCTATATTTGGAAGAGAAGATGGGAACTCACAGTGGTTATGGGGAGTTGTAAAGACAGGAATAAGCTCTCAGATATCTTAAAATTTAGCTGTAAATTGCAAAATCATAGCAAATGCTGGCAATACAATCTCACAAATTCAATAAGAAAGCTGACTCTATAAGTAGAAGGATGAATAATAGTAGCAGTAGTTGAAACTTGAAACCTTCTGTTCCCTTCAGTTTTGGATCATCTTCAAAGAATTTCAGAATGACCCAAGTCTAGCTACTTACTTGGAAGCAAAGATTTGCGGGAACTGAAAATACATGATTCAGTTATCAATTTACCTATTTCCGATGACACTGGAAAAGCATGAATCTATCTTCAACAAGCCAACGAGTAGCAGTATGTAATAAAGGATGCATCGAGTTATTCCATATCTGTCAAGTACTAAAAGTTCTACTTGTGGAGGAGAAGGGAATATGCTAAGAATGCACATTAACTACCGATTTAGCCATAAAGACAATTCACATTTTTCCGGAATCAAAGCCTTGAGAGAAGCATTTTGATTCGCATCAAAATGAGATCAAACACAATTTCACGATTAATGCAACTGAATTTTCAGTCAGAAACACAAATGAGATTCTTATTACTTACCAAATGAAATGATACAAGCTTGAAGCAGACACCGAATACAAAGAAACTACACGATAAAGAGGTACAACTAAAGAAATAATCTGTAATTGCTATTCAAAATAGATACTTACGAACAAGCTTACCTAAAACAACAGTATGGTATAGATTTACGCAAAAACTGCAAGAGTAAAGCTTCAAACGCCAGTCAGAAATTAGCTGGACGAAGTGCATGAATTGATCCCATCCTTGCAGTCTCTGGTGAGATCATTAAATGTCTCAACCTGCTTTTTACCCCTAAAGAAAACTTCTGTATCAACTGAAGCCCTCATGTACCCATCAAATTCAACTGGATTCCCATTATTAAGTTTTGTTGTCTCTGCATACCACTCACTTTTTTCATCCCAAAGATCCATATATTCATGAAGGAAATGGGTGGAGTACTTGTCTTTTAAAGGGTCAAAAAAGGATGTATCTGGCTCATTGGTTGCTATATACAGGTTCCTACCGTCGTCGATCTTGTCCTGCAAGCTAGATAGTAGAGCCTCGGGAGAAGTATCTTCTGCCAAATGTGGCCACATTTCACGATTCCTTGCCTTCTCACCCCTTACAACATGAACTGAGTCATAATCCCAATTTAACCTCGACGAAATAGCTGAGACGATGTCCATCAATCGTCTTGATTTCCATACCAGATGCCATGGTCGTTGAACGACTGATTCCGTTTCACCCTCACATACCCTGTACCAGTAATTATCTGGCTCCACAGAACCAAATTTCCTCATGATTAAAGTATCCTGCACTCCGGATAACTTCATCGGTGTAATCCTAAAATCCTCCACAAGATGAAGACTTAATCTGTCTTTTTTATGCCACTGGTCCCAATCTGACCAAAACTGGATCTGATCGAGGACTGACGCTGAATCCTTTAAGTGCTCAAAATCGAAGTAAAACCTGAAATCCTTTCCTTCCTCATCTACACCAGATGAAGTGTAAATCTTGGATAAACAAATACTTAAGTCCATTATCAAGGTCCTGTTCAGATATTGAGCCTCGCCCAATGCACACATGAAACTCCAAAGGTAATGGCTCATGCTCTTGCACCTATCCCCACCTCCAGAATAAATCAAATACTTACCATTGCCAAATGAACTCTCCGATTCCACCACAGGAAGTGAGTCATTTACAGCTTCCCCAACCACAGGCAGAGCAATAGGTTCACCCTCTGTCTTAGGAGTTACCTTCTCGAATCCCTCATCTAGCTTACCAAGAGTTCTGTCAGACCCTGCCCTGTTCTTTCTCTTCCTCTTGCGGGCATTTCCACCAGAATGATAATCACCTATACTGACCACATCAAGGGTGCAGTTCTCCGACCTAGAAACCACAAAAGACCGATAATCTTTATAAAAGGCAGCAGTCTTCCCTTCCTTAGGCCTAAACCGCCACGCCATATGACAGGAACTATCATTAGACCCCCTGACCGGCTTCCCAAACCGGTAAAAATGTATATCCTTAAACTTCTCAATGGCAGCTCTCATCAACAAATGAAACACATCCGGGTCAGTGCAATCAACAGGATCATCAATCTTGCCACTACAGTCCAAATTATTCTCAGTGACACCACCACCATCAGCATTCTCCGGAACATCAACATCATTGAGGTTAATGAACGTCGTAAACGCTGTCTGATTAACACCAAGAAAGTCCTCACCAGTCCTCACAACACTATCATCAGCTCTAAATGTAGCATTAGATTTGGAAGTAAGGAAATTAGTGATTTTTGCTGAAGGGTGGAACAATGGGTCTTCAGGCTGATAAGTTGCAGCAATTATAGTGAAAACCAAAACCCCAACTACAAATATAGTAAAACAAAGATTCCCAATCATAGCCATTGCATTTTGACCCAAATTTTCTGGCCTGAAACTTCCACTCCTAGACAGCAAAAGTGAAGGCCGACCCAACATTTTTTCCCCACTTTTTCTCACTATAGCATTAAAGCTTCAAACACAACAAAGAACTAAATCTGTAAAATGGACAAAACATATAATTAGACTACTACCACCACTCAACAAAATGACTAAAAGGGTATTCAAAAAACATGAAATTTGACAAAGTAAAACCAAGAATTCATAGATCTGGGTAAGTATAAACAAGAATCGACTATGTTAAAGCTGAAGTTATGCTTTCAAACAACTTAATACAGTATAAAGATTACTTTTTTACCTCATACAGCTTGGTGATTGAACATAGATTTCAGTACTTCTCTTTCATTCTCTCTGTGAGTGGAGAGTAATCAGTAAAGTGATGCTAATTTACTTATTATGTACACCGACAAAAACATCGGGGGTCGAAATGTGATTAGCGAATAGAGTGAGGCCTAAATCACGGAACAATATAAGCATTATGCGTGTTTCGAAAATTTCTACTGTCAACCCCCTAGGTTTTCTTATTGACTAAAATATCCTCTCCCTGGCTAGCCGGACTAATCGGAAGACACATATCAGTTGGACTAGTGAAGGCCCTATTCGGAGACATAAAAAAATATATTTTTGAATCAATCGTACTATTGATTTTTTAAATTAAAGAAATAGACTTGTTCGAAAGAAAGATTATGTGTCACCTTTAGAGCATATATAAGATACAAAATTGAACTGTTCACACAGCGAATTATTCTCTCGAAAAATGAGAGGGGTTTGAAAGTAATAGTCTTGTCAAATGGCCGGCCCGACTTACTACCTTTGCGCCTTTACTTTGTAATTCTCTCTTTTTAAAATTTTTTATATTGATTTGTAAGCACGTGGAACTTTAGCAAACAAAAATAGGTACTCAGGATTTTCACAAAGTGATTTCATTTCACCACTAGGCCAAGGATCACACTCGTGTTAATGGAATCAAAAGTTAATATATACATATAAAATTTTAAAAACTGATTAACTATATATATATATACGGTGTTATTTTTCAACGAAATGAATTTATGTGAACCCATTTGACTCTCTGTGGACCCGTCCCTGAAAATAGGAACCTTAATCGTATAAAATAACTAGAGATCGAAAATCATTACTCCCTCTCCGATCTATTTTACTTGCAATGATTGTTAAAAAATTATTGAGCTAAAGTATTTATCATGACATTTTTCTTTTATCGAAAATAAAGAAGGTCGAGAATGATCTACGATGCATTTTATCTTTTTTTTTAAAAATAATACTTGTCATTTTAAAAACTAAAATAGAATTTTAAACTTAAAAAAAAATTGGAAAAATTGGCAATGTGCAAATACTTGCAAACTTTACAAATGTGATTAAATTAGAAATGTACAATGCTCATTGAGGTCAAGAAAATCACCTAGACAGAACCACTGGTTTTACCACCAGCATGTAGTAGCTACTAGTTTCCGGTCATATGGCCTTTGCAACTCCGCGTCTTTCCACATAAAATCGGGCAGAGGAAGAAGAGCTAATATAGTCCATCATTTACATATAAAGCTGCTGTTTTCTTAGCTGTATACTGGTCTATGTGAAAACCTGAAACTACCTAATAATTCATGTAGACTGCACCTTTGAAGGGGTACACGATGAAGCCCTTAACTGTAACCGACTCATGCTCAGCTCCATACTTCTGTGAACCATGTCTTGCAACAATCTCTTGGCTGTGTCAGCTGCTTTATCTGTTCCATCAACTTGTGCAGCGAAGTCGTATACTATTCTCTTCAATGTGGAGGATGAGAACCTATTTTCAGGAGGAGAGTCTCGAAGCAAGTCCAAAAGTGTTCTAGCTCTTTCCTGAGCTAGAGGTGTGCCCTCTGCAGTTAACCTTAAAAGGCCTGGAATGGCGCCTTCTTTGAGAATGAGTTCCCTGTACTTGTCTCGGCTGCTTTGACACAATGACAGCAAAGCCCCAACAGTGTGTTCTGTGCTGATGAGTGACCCATCCTCAACAGTTTCAACTAGAGTAAGTATTCCACCATCTGCATTTGTAATTGCATCTCTTCCCTCCTCAGAATTAGAGAGAATTTCCAGTAGCGCTGTGGTTTTCTCGGCAAACTTGGAATATTTCTTGCAGTCTTTGAGGAGATTCATTAGTGGATAAACCGCTCTAGCATCAAGAACCAACTTGGGATCTTCTTTGCTTGTGGAGAGATTGTGGAGGGCTGTGACGGAATCAACCCTTCCTTGAACAGTTCCTGAACTCAGGATCTGCACCAGAAGAGGTCCAACTCCTGATGCAGCTATTGTTGGTTTATTGGCTGCAGCAGCTGATAATGTCAAAATAGCAGCAGCTGCTAGTTCTTTCAAATTGCCATTTTGAAACTTGAGGAGCTCCACAAGAGGAGGGATGGCACCAGATGCAACGATCCTTATTTTGTTTCTGATAAGTTTGAAAAGAAATATAAGGAGATAAGTTGATTATCCTTTAATCAAAGCAATTATTACAAAATAAGGGAATTTCAAAAAGAACAATGACGATATATCACATATGTCCAAGTATACCAAAGAAGCAGTTAAAATAAACCTACGGAAATGTCACGAGAGAGAGAGAGAATACCAAAGGAACTGTTAAAATAAACCTACAGAAAGGTCAGGAGAGAGAGAGAGAGAACTTGGACATTCTCACTTTATGGTATTTCTAACCAGGGCTGTTGTTGGCAAGTACGCAGAAACCATCCTTAGCTGAAACGAAGAACTCTTGCTTACATGAGCAAAGTAAAGAGGAAAATATGACCATGTGAGCACATCAATTATCCTCTATTCTGTATAATTATCCATCTTTACTCCCACATTTATTGAGAATCTCCAATGCCAAATTAACAGAACACAAACAATTTAACCACATCTACATGTAAGAAAAGGTACAGTAATTATGAAACCAGACGATCAAGCTTCAGATCATGGCTACATTTGGCCATTCTTTGGGGGTATAACCACAGCATGTCTTGAGCATTGACATCTTAATTGTACCAATAACAAGGAAACTCTCAAGGAAATAAAGCACCAATCACCTAACAAACAAGGTGAAGAAAGATTTGGAAGTACACCAAGAGAACACAAAATAATTAGAAAAAAGAGACAAAAAAAGGGTGTGTTCGCCTGGTTCACTGCGAAGGAAAATGTTTTCCAAGGTTTCTACTTATTTTCTTGTGTTAAGTACGTAAGCAAGAAACATTATCCAAGAAGCATTTGTATATAATCTAAGACAAATACTATGGAAGGTGGGGGTGAGGGTGCGGGGTGGATGGTAGGGATTGGGCTACAGGGGTGGGGGTGAAGATGAAGTGTGTTGGATGGTGGGGAGAACACAATTAATGTGAAATGTTGTAGAATTTTTGTTCCCTACTTCAACTAGCGAAGTCATTTCCCCCATTTGGAACTTGTTTTCTTAGAGAATATTTTCTAAAAAAATTGGCCAACCAAAGATGGAAAATTGAAAAGCATTTTCTGCCAAATGTTTTCCTCCATACCCAACACACCTGAAGAACTTCAGAGAAAAGGAAAGACAGAAACTAGGGGAGGACAGGACAAAAAACAAATTATATGTCAAACAAATGATAACATTATCTAGCCGTTTCACAACCTGGAGAGATAGAAAAGCTTCCTCCCTTGTGTCAGTAGATACATCAGGAGATGATGCGTATAAAGATGATTGAGCATGGAAATATTGTACAGTTACAGCCTGTGAGAAGTTCATTTAAATGCCTAACAAGGATGATTTTTTTCCTCTTTCAAATAAAACACGAAAATGGAAAGATGTATTCTGCCCTGACCAAAAGTAAGATATTACAGAAACAGGATGACATCTTCTAGTGAGATGCAATGGTGCAAGAACTTCACTATGGCGGATCACAACTTTCTAACCTTTCAAAATCTCAATCAGATTTCGGAACACAGTTTACTAATACCTTGAAATCGTAGTTGTTGCACATTAAATGTTAACTTCTTTTCCGGCTCCAAACAGGCATTGACGAGCAAAGGTTTAGCACTAAATACAACTTCTAAATGCAATTTTTTGGTAAGAAATCTTTTTCGGTGCGTGAAGCACGACTTCTAAAGGCCAAATTAGGGTCTCAGCTCGACCCAATAGCTCATTTGTCAGAGAAGCTTCTAGGTTTATGTTCTTCTCTACGAGTATTTTACAATTTTACATTGCTGTTTTGCCAGAGAGACAAGGCCATTCATTCACAGCCTATAATTGAGATGCACTACTATTAAATGGCGACCTGAGTCATGCACTTTTAGGTGGCAGTGGTAGCCAAGGCCACTTCTTCCTTGGCACATGAACTCAAGGTCACTGAAATGATCTAAATATTATCTGGTATGGTTCTTGTTATCTGCTAACCCTGAATAAGTGTCTTGTACCTTTTCTTCCCATAGCTCCCAGAACCCTCCCCCTCCTGGTGCAACTAAGAAACCCCCCATCAACCTCCCCATTGTTGGACCAAATTATCGCTTGCGGGACGTTCCTTGGGCTCATGAACTATCAGTTAGGGCATGTTCACCTCATTGCATCCCCCGGCCTTTCAAGTGAATTTCACAGTTGTACCACACTTCATTTAGAACCTTTTAAAACACCAATAAGAAGATGACATATTGAAATGTGCTTCTAAAGATAAAAACTCAATGAGCCAAGTAAAACTAAATTGTGAATGTTATCATGACATCTAGGTGGCAATAACTCATAACTAAGTAAAGATATTGTACTTTTAACATAAAATTCCTGACGAATTAGCTCTGGCTGTTCTCTGATAACTAATATTTATTGTTCCAGAAAGCTCTTTCCGTATGAAGCTGATGTCCACCGAGGGGACTTGTATAGCTGGTTTCTATTCTTATGTACAAGACCCATTCCATTAAACTAAAGGCTTAATCTAGAGCTTCCCCTACAGTTAAAAGGATTGTTGTTTGTCAAAGAGGAATTTGTATGACTTACATTAAATCCACCACTTTCATCCAATAGCACCTTTGTTTCTCATTTACACAGTAATAAATATTCCCAGACTCAACATCCAAAATTTTCAACTTTACCGGGAAAAAATCACAATCCTTACCATCTAAATTATCTAGACCAAGAAAACACCATTTTCAAACTAACCCACAAAATTCTTCCAATTTCATACATATAACAAATATCCACAAATATATATTATTTCTCAAAAAAAAAAAAAAAGAGTTCAATAGTACGAACCTTTCATTACGAGAGGCAAGATTAAGGAGAGCTAATAAAGCAGCTTCACGAGCAAGTAGAGAATAAGAACAAGGCTGAAGCATATCAACCAACGGCGGAATAACGCCGGCGGCGGCAAACCTTGAACGAGTCTTACCGGAAAAGGAAGATTTCCTCACCAATTTCCTAATTTCCCTAGCTGCTTCAATTTTCTCTACCTCTTCCACTGCACTCTTCAACTTCTCCGCTATCTCCTCTATCACATTCTTGCATTTTCTGTTCTTCTTCTGCTCCTCCTCCTCCTCTTCTTCTTCCTCCTCTTCAAGATTACATTTTCCTCCTTCTTCTTCTTCTTCCATCAATATCTCCTCTTTTACCATTTTTCTGACACCCTTTTGAGCTCTCTTTCAAAGGGTGTATTCAACAATGGAGATTCTGTTGATTTTTTTTTTTCAGATGAAGAACTTTATTCAGGATTCAACTGTTGTACTTTTCTATTTAGAGGTTGTACCACCTATTTGAGACTCTCGAGTCTTTGCGTATTTCATGGTAATTTACTTATTTAACATACACCCCCTTAAGTTTAGATAAATATATATTAACTACCCTTTACTTAGGAAGTAACGTCCCTTTCAATCCAAAAAAGTAAAATAAAAGGAGAACTATATTATTTATCTCAATTCTCAACTTAAGAAAAATAGACATAATTCATAGGAAATAAGTTCTTTTTCAAAAAATAAAATGGAGTATTAAGATACGAGAGAATTTTATTATGTACAACTATTAAATTAGAGTTCGATAAAATAATTTAAAAAAATATTACGTCAAGGGAGAGGGAAATTTTTTTAGCTATTTAAATTATGCATTTTCATTTTTACTTTGATTGATATTTTGTTGAACTAGTAAAGTGAAAAGAAGAAGAGGAGAAGGTGTTGATTAAGAAAAAGAAATAATTATGCTTAGAAGTAATATGCAAGTTATTTAAGTAAAGTGTATTT